ATTAATTATGCTATTAAAAAATTCTTACTTTATTTTTTAATTTTTTCTAAAGTAATATAAATAAGAAATTAATGATTATTCACTATGTCTCTAAAAATTAAAAAGATTTCCTCTTATAAATTAAAAAAGGGTTAAACGCCTAATTTAGTCCTTGAACTATTGTATGGACCCCCAATTTGGTCCATAAACTAAAAAAATCCCTGATTTGATCCCTAAACAATTTTATGGACCCCCAATTTGGTCCTATTGTTTACCAATTTGCCATAAGTTAATCTTTTTGTACAAAAAAAGCTGACATATCCATTACTTAACGATGAAAAACAATAACTTAATGATGAAAAATAGTAATTTAACAGCCATATGTCACGTTAATAACAAGATATGTCAGTTGGTTTTGGTATGGAATGACCAACTTGAGGTAAATTGATAAACAGAAGGACCAAATCAGGGTCCGTACAATAGTTTAGGGATCAAATCAAGAATTTTTTTAGTTCAAAGATCAAATTAAGAATCTATATAATAATTTAGGGACCAAATTAAAAAATTAACAAAAAAAAACTATTCTCCATAAATAAAGATTAAAAAGTACCATTCTCTACAGATAAATAAATAGATGAATGGTATAAATAAATGAATTGTACGTACCATACCTCATAAACCATGTGGTGAAAATCCAACTTCTGAATCTAGTTGTTGGGTGTTCAATTCAATTCCCACCCTCCCACTATTGTAGTGCTTCAATTCAATTCCTATTAGATCGGGTCGATCCGACCCTTAAACACGATCTGTCCATGAACAAAATGGAACAAACCTAAGCACAAATAAAAGGAAATTTAGGGTCTATATTCAGCCAATTCTAATTTCCATAAAATAAAACTGAACTAACTTCAATGAGAATGCTGATGCATAACATTCAATAAAATGAGTAAAGGTGTAAATAATGATTCTAATTTTATACTTTTTTTTATTTAAAAATGTTAACTTTGTCATTTTTTAAATAAAGATGTCAATTTTTATTTTTTTATTTAAAGATGTCAACTTTTAATTTTTTCTATTTAAGGATTAATTAGTGGTGATGCTGACGTCAGCTAACATATTTTTTTAAGGTTAAATATTTGAATTGGTCCCTCAACTTTTATTTTTTAATCAATTCATCCTTAACCTTCAGAAAGTACCAAAAACGTCCTTCAACTTCAATTTTCAATTTCATCTTTCCGTCAGTTAAATTTTGATGTAGCTAATTTTTTCGTTAAGTGATTGACTATTTTACATTTTCAATATTAAGTGGAAAATCCATTATGTAAAAAATGATTATGTGAATTTTTTTAATTTTAAATAATTTAAAAATTACTTTAATTCTTAATTTTACTTTATTTATATTTAAAAATTAAAATAATTAATATATTTTCTCATTTAATTAATCCCATCTACCATTTAATAAAATTAAATAAAAATTAATTAATTTTTTCATGAATTAAGAAATAATTTTATTAATTAAAAATTAAAATTGAAAGATGTTGTCGATACTTTTTAAAATTTAAAAATGAATTAGTTAAAAAAATAAAAATTAAGAGACCAATTTAAGTATTTAACCTAAAAAAATATATTAGCTGCAATAAGCATCACCACCAATTAATTTTTAAATAAAAAAAATTAAAATTAACATTTGTAAATAAAAAATAAAAATTAACATCTTTATTCAAAAAAATAATAAAATTAATATCTTTAAATTAAAAAAAAAAAAAATAGCAAATTGAAATCGCTTCTTTACTCCGATAAAACCGAACAGAAAACAAGGTAACATGCTTGATTCTCATTTATTTTCCTGCAAATTCATACAACTTAACCACAGAGCATCAAAGTATTTACAGAGAAAATCAAAAGTAAAGCACCCATGACGGAAATTTTCGGAGAGGACAGATCCGCATCCGATCGGAGGGATCCCACCCACGAGATTAGCTCCGATCATCTCCCTCACTACCTCTCCAAAAACCCCTTTTCAGAAGGTTACCTAAGGCAAAAATCAGTTCTCAATTCCAACACCAGACCCCTTGTCCCAGCCGCACTCCTTCGCAAGAATCACAAGCTACCGACCAAAAGCTTCCTCCGGGAAAAAGCCCCAAAAACCAGAAATTTTTTTCTTCTGAAACCGAGACTCGGAATCACCAAATATCTTCCCCAAAAAACAACTGTCCTAAAAAACCCTCCCCAAAAGACAGTTCTTCCCTTTTTTTTTTTTTCTTTTTTTTTTTTTTTTTTGTTGATGTCGACTCTCTCCAAAAATCCCAGATCTCACCTCTCCTTTTTGGTTTTTGTTTTTCGGCAATCTCTCCCCAAAAATCTCAGGTTTTCGCCTCTTTATGCCGCTTTGGACGAGCCTACCCTGCCCTTTCCGCGAAGTTGCCTCTTCTTCGCTGGATGTGGAGCCATCTGCTCGAGAGCGGAGCTAGTGGAGCCTGGGGAACGGATGAGCAGAGAAGAAGCATAACGGGTTCCAGGAAGGGGAAGAATTTCTGCGTTTTTGTCCCAATTTGGGGCTAGGGTTTTTCAGAATAAAAAGGGCCTGGGTCAATTCGGTGAATGGACCGGAAACGGACTAATTTTGGACTTAGCTGAAACGGGTTTCTATTTGGATTTAATTTTTGGGCCCAAATCAGCAACTCTTTCTAAATTTTGACATTTGATCCTTCCTTGCTTACTCATGTGCTCAAGTCCAATTTCCGCATTTTCTTTTTCTAATTTGTCCAAGCCTTTCCCTTTTTCCACAATTGAGTCCTGAAACAAGAAAATAAGGCTAATTAAAAATATTTTATTTTTATTATTATTATTTTTTATTTGTTTTAGACTAAAACTTTTAATTTTATTTATTATACAACTTTAGATAAAAATTTGAGTTATGACACTGCCATGACTATAATGTTTAGAAATTAATTGCATATAAATTTGAGTACCTCTTATACTTGCATAATAAAATTTCTTTTCTTTTCAAAAAAAAAAAAATCTAAGGCACTATCTAACACACATTTTCTCAATCACATGTGAGATTTACGTAATTAAAAAAGGTGTGTAAGGGTATTAAAAAGTTAAAATTTTAGTTATTAAGCTTATGAATGATCTTTAATATTATTCGCAATGACCAAAATACACATTTCCTAATTATGTGTTGTGAAGTTTAAATAATTGTGCCACATCTGCCACTAATTATGATCTGGTTGGTATACGTTAGGCATTTTATGTTTTCACATGAAAATGAAAAGTTATTTAGAAAGGAGATCAACCATTTCCTCCATATAATCCGATCATATATTAAAAGAAAATGGAAAAGAAGAGGAAATAATTAACTAAAGGACTTTCATTATTATGGCCAAAAAGAGAAGGGACTTCTATTGTTTAGGGCCGAAGTTTCTGTTAACGGTTGGGCCACTTAATCTTTGGGCCTTGATTTTTCAGCCCATTTTCTGCTTGATTATTAACTTTATCTATTTATTTTCTGTTCCTTGAACATTTTGCTTTCGTTATCATCTTAGAAGTAAAGATAATATTCTAATGCTTTCTGCGAAAAATAAGAAGTTTTAAATTCAAATCATATTAGTTTAAACCATATAACATACAAATAAAATGAGTTTAAAAAAAATTATCTCTCATTTTACATTTTAAAATAAAAAAAAAAGAAAAAAAAAAAAAGAAAAGAGGAAAGTCGAGATAGTCAAATTCACATTTACCCTAAAAAAAAATTCAGATTCAATACAGTATAGCGGCTATGAAATCGTATCCAAACAGCGGTAGGCTAGAATCCCTAAAACCCTTCAGAAAGTAATCATACAAAGCATTCTCTATGTCTATTTTCGACCATTGATGTTGACAATTATTGAAATTTTATTTTATCATTTCTCTCTTTTATTGTTAATGGAGATTCAACCCGTGACAAGGATCACAAGTAAGTAAATTTTTAGGAATCTCAATCCTAATATGAATAATCTGTTTTTAAAATCATGTGGGGAGGTTAGAGCTGGAATGAACCGTGGAAAGGAGAAAAAAAAGCTACTCTCTTGTACTGGTAACACAGTTTCAAAAACCTAAAATCACTTGTCATGAACCATGTCATGTTACAGGACTAGCTAGTTTCTGGGAGACCGTTTGGGTTATTATGCCCAGCTTTCACCCAATGCTTCAAAATCTTTCACTAGCTTCTAAAAACACTCAAGGGATGACTCAAACTACCAAAGAGTAAATTGATATCACTTGACATCCACTACAAGCAGAATGCTCTTTACCAACAGAAGTCTATACTAACGGACATGAATCCGTCTGCATAAACCATCTATACCAACGAAAAACTGAAACAGTCGTTGTACATTGATTTATACCAACAAAAAAATATATCCATTAATATAGAATGAATTTATACAAATGGATTACTAATTACCCTTCTGTATAGAATATGTCAATTCTAATGGTAATCATTATATGTTTCTATAAACCCTATCTATACAGACGGATTACCATATACTGTCTGTATGATTCACTATTTCTTAAACATATTTTTTTTCTTTTTAATTTTTGCCGTTTGTATACATTTTCTCTTTCCTCCGCATTTTCCCAATTTCCCTCCCCAAAATCTGAGTTTCCCTCACTCGGTAGACCTAAGTATTTTCATCCCTCTCCCAAATCTCCAAATTTTGGAGTTGATTTTGCTAAAACTCAAAAACCCATTTGAACCTAACTGCCAAATTCATTTCCTCGACTCTAATCCATCAATGATAGGAGGTCAATAGGTGAGTTTGTGTTGATTTCGGGTGATTTCTTCCCAATCCTCTTCGTTTCTTCTCTTTGCTCTGCGACTTTCTTTTGTGCCATTCGTGCATCAAGGTTCTACATAATCAAGGGATTTGGGGTTGGAGAATAAGCGATACAGGGGAGAGAGGTTGCTACTCTGGATTTGCTTGAAACCCATTTCTCCCTTTTTCTATTGCTGTTTTCGTCTCTCATCTCTTGATTTCATTGTTTCCTCATGTACTCTCCTTTTTCTCGTCTTCTTCACTCTTCCTTTCTCCCATTTGCTTGCTATTCTCTTCTCTCTCTCTTTTTTTTTTTTTTTTGAGAAGTTTGTTTTGTTTGATGATGGGATCCATCTTGTTAGTTCTTGTTTCTGGGCTAATTTCATTGTTTCCTGACATGGGTCTTTGTGATTTGCAGGTTTTAGGGCCTCATCTGGTGAAGCTTCATGGCTTCTAAGCGG